AATGAATCAACTCCAGCCGCTTAGTCTTGGGTTGCTGTCCTGTCTTCACAAAGGTTACCCTCTTTTGTTTGCCTAGAACACATGGCTCACAAAAGGTCAACTTTGAATTCTTCAAATCTGGGATTTTACCCTTTGAAGACAACATCTTCATTCCATTCTCACTTATGTGCCCAAGTCTTTGATGCCACAAAGTGGAGATCCCTGTATCTTCAACTGTTGCGTTTGCTCCATCTGTAGACACTTCAACCATGTACAGTGTACCATGCTTTTGCCCACGAGCAATGACCAGCTTTCCCTTTGTTACCTTCCATTGCTTGTTGCCAAAACTAACGTTATGGCCTTCCTCATCAAGCTGTCCTACTGAGATCAACATCTTCTTCAGGTTTGGAATATACCTGACATCTTTCAGCCTCCAGGTTGTACCCAAAGTGGTACTGAGATCAACATCCCCAATACCCGTGATCTCCAGGGATTTATCATCCGCCAAACGAACTCTTCCGCCGTAGGGCCTGAAATTTTTCATCAAATCCCTGCAATGACAAGCATGAAACGACGCACCTGAATCCATGATCCAGGACTCAACTGAATTCTCAACGCTGCAAATTAGAACATCTTCATAATCCTCTGCCACATTCACCTCCTTCTTGCCTTTGTCTGCTGGGGCTTTTGGGCACTGATTTCTGAAGTGTCCATTCTCCTTGCAATTCCAACAATTGATGTCCTTCCTGTTCTTGGATTGACCCCTCTTCCTCGACTTTGATCTTCCCTTCTTGTTACCCCCTTTAGTGGATTTTCTGCCCCTGTCTTCAGTACTCAACAAACTATTGGAGCTATCCCCCGAACTTCTCCTCCGGATATCCTCACCAAGGATTAAGTCACGAATACCTTCAAAGGAAAGCTTAGTGGTTCCAGCCGAACTACTAACTGCTGTGACTGTACCGGACCAACTATCGGGCAAAGATGATAACAAAAGTAGTGCTTGAACTTCATCATCGAATTTAATCTCAACCGAGCCTAACCTGGATATGATTGAATTAAACTCGTTGATGTGATCTGTCACGGATGCACCTTCCTTCATTCTTGTATTCACCAACTGTCTGATTAAGAAAACCTTGTTGGCCGCTGAGGGTTTCTCGTACATGTTGGATAACGCCTTGAGCAGTCCAAACGTTGTTTTCTCGTTGACGATGTTGTAAGCAACGTTTTTCGCCAACGACAACCTCACCACACCAAGAGCCTGTCGGTCCAACAAGTTCCACTCCGCCTCCACCATCGTCTCTGGTTTGTTCTCAGACAAGGGTAGATGAAGCTTTTTCTGGTAGAGATAATCCTCGATTTGCATCTTCCAGAAAGCGAAATCTTGACCATCAAATTTATCGATCTTAACCTTCCCTTCGTCAGCCATAGCTCTGATACCAGTTGTTAATTATCACGATTAGGCTAAGATAAACGATAAATTTAAAGCAAGAACACAAGAATTTACGTGGTTCACGCAATCGGTGTGATTACGCTAGTCCACGGCGAACGAGAGAGAGATGTATTATTATTCCAGCGTCTGGTGTGTTTACAGATACATTAGGGATGTTTAAATAGGTTTAAGAAAGCCTAAATAAGGGTTAAGGCCGCAGGCCCAAAAATTAATCCCGTCATTAATTTTTCCCGTATACTCGATCGAGTATACATACATACTCGACCGAGTATAGATTCCAGAATTCTGCCCGAGTAGTGTTTTTACACATACTCGACCGAGTATACCTCCATACTCGATCGAGTATAAACTCCAGAATATAACCCGAGTACCCCTTACACGCATACTCGACCGAGTAATGATCAATACTCGATCGAGTGTAGAAACCAGGGAAATACTCGAGCCATCAAACACCTCATACCCGATCGGGTAACCCAACATACCCGATCGGGTATATACTCCTGCATTCCAAACAAGGCTCCATCTTCAACAAATTGAATGGTAACTAATTATGCAAGAGAATGGAGTAATGAATTTTGTAGTAATTTAGGAATAAATATTTATAGTGTTTCACTCAGGAAGTGTAGTCAGTACTTTAAGGTTGGGAATAAAGTAATGGAGGGGTAGAAAAAAGTAACGAGGTTTTAGTAACTACGGCCGAACTAGTCATCACCTAGTAACTAGGGGGTTTATTATAGTACTACCTCCGTGCCTAATAAAACTTCCATATAGGTTGGTCACACAGTTTAAGATAGCGAGTATTGTGTGGTGGAGAGTTGTGCAGAGGAGAGAAAAATGCGTAAGAAATGTTGTGAACCACAAATTCTTTAACAACAAGGGAAAGTGGAACTGTGGAAGTTTTAATTGGGACGGACGAAAAAGGAAAGTTGGAAGTTTATTTAGGGACGGAGGGAGTAATTCTTATCCTCTGCACAGAATTGATCAAAAGAATGCTATGAACGGCGAGCCTCTCCGGATAAGTCGTCTTGTTCAATCATATCGGATTAAGATTAACAGTGAGAAGTTCATATGATTTACAAAGAGGCAAAATTAATATGATAGGATTTAAGTGCATGCGAAAGTTTATCTAAAGCGTAGAAGAAAAGAGTTCGTGTAGAGAAGGAGACTAGATGGCCGTTAGCGGGAGGTCAAATACGGAATACTCAAATCGGTTTTAAATGAATTTTAATAGAAATAATTACATAGATATGACCAAAATAAAGATGATTTACAAAAATATGATTCATTACTAGAGTAGTAATAAAATCATAATAATTTATGTTCAAGTTTTGAACTTTAGTTACCACAGCACTACGTTGTAGTAATGAATAGTCATATTTATGTAAATAAGTTTTATTTTAGTAATATTCTCGTAAAAATCCCATTTTAATAGTAGATAATGTTTAGTCATACTTTTGTTAATGACTCTTGAACTAGTAATATAAATGTAATTTTTTCTAGGAAAAATAAAAAGTTACATGAAAACACAAATGTAAGACCGTACCACCTATGTAATGTAATTGTTTCCAAAATTATGATGTACCAGAATTCCCATCCGTGCATTGCACGGGATGGAATTTATATTTATGAGATTATTTCGAATTACTTACAATTGTGACGATAAAGATTCATTCGTGATGAATGATTTTTCTTTTTTGAATCACATAGGTTGAAATGAGGAGAACATTTGAAATGCAAAAAATAGGCAGATTAGATATAGAAATAAGAGAGGAAGAAACCCCTATTCACTTCAACATATTTTATGTTCTCAATTGAACCTAAATATGAAGAAGACATACTTTCAAACAGAAGTCAAAGAAACTGGGTGCAACAGAGCAAAGAATACAAAAAAGGGATATGAATTTTAACACAAATCAGACTTAAGAAATAGAAAAAGAAAACGTAGAGGGTAATAGTGTGTAAATACTCTTAATATTTATTATTATAAATATGATGATAGGACTCCCTTATGGGCAAACCATTCTTTCACACAATTAATTTCACGCTCACCGCGTGGAGGTCTTCCCTCCTTACAAAACATGGGTGCTCTTTGGGACCCGACCAACCCAATATCAATACTTGGCTTATAAAAAGCCTTCAAAATTGCTTAGGATTTTCGGTGTGAGACAAATCCTACACACACCTTGTTTGGAGAGAACTTTGGGGGACAATTTTTCATTCATTTCAAAATGATTTTCTACAAATAATATATCTAAACATTTACCTCACGGAGTATAATATGTTAGGACTTAGTCTCACTAATTATGAGAAGTAGATCCTTACATATTTAAGCTCCAAAATGACCAAAATATTAGTTCTTGTAAACCATTTTACCAACAGAAAGAAGAAAAAGAGAAAATAAAAACATAAAAAATATTCCATTTGGTAATGTTTGGCAAAACGAAAAATACAACGATGCTCCCCCTATTTTGTCACAAAGTCTGCTTTTTTTTTTTTTTTTTTTTTTGGAAAAACATGATTTTATTCATAACAAAAGAGTACAATGCAAGAAGCCAAAAAAAGTAAAAAGTACCTAAAAGAAAATACAGCGTAAAAAAAAAAAAAAAACTAGACCCAAGGGAAATCTCTGGATTGCGATCTAGTTCTCATGCTATGTCGCCTTTTGTTTTGCTGAGATTTCCTGTAAAGTTTTAGTTGCGTGTTGTCACAAAGTCTGCTATGTCTCCCAAAAATCATTCTATACTACTCCGTAGTACTCCCTCTGTCCCGGAAAATTGTTCCCGCATTGACTTGGAACGGAGTTTAAGAAAGTGGGAATAAAGTGAAAATGTATGGTTGTGGTTGAGTAAGGAAAAGATAATGAATTGTAGTCACAAAAAACTTTCCAAAAGAGGAAAGTGAAACAGTTTTTTGGGACGACCCAAAAAGGAAACTGGGAACAATTTTCCGGGACGGAGGGAGTATATTTTATTGTAAAAGCAATTCAAAACAAAGAGCATATCTTATCTCTCTGCTTCTTAAAGCATTGCTATATGCATATATTGAATTCCTTGATTAATGGTGATAAACTATGTATGCTAAATGGCTTTGATTAAACATATACTTGTAACAAAAAACATTTTCATATACTAATTTAAAGAATTTCTTATGCGATTATATCAGTGCTCAAACTTTAACACCGCTAACAATACAAAAGTTTGCCTAGGTTATAAGGGACTTCCTTTAACTTCCATATAATTTTGTATGTATTAATTAGTTCTATACTTCTACTTTTAAAAAAAAAAATCGACCACCTTTAATTTAATTTTTTATATTGAAATTGTCATATTATTTTTTAAGTTAAGAGCATCTTGTTACTTTTTTTTTTTTAAAGTTAATGAAGCATCTTGTTATTTCATTTCCATTTATTTGTTTAAGAATCTTTCTTTGCTTGTTTTCTAAACAAAGTAAACCTGTAAAGGTGGAAGAGCTAGTACGTGCATTTAAATGCACAAAACATAAAGCAACATTCGAAAATGATTTATACTTTGCTTCAATTCATGAGTAAGACCATGATTTAAATCCAATGCTGGATATTATATGCTCTACTTAAGTTTTTATTTTGTCTTGATATGATGCTGTTTTAATAGACTTATCCTTGGTTTCTACATGACAATATACACACTTTCTTTGTTCTAATAAAAAAAATAAACTTGTGAGGGTTCAAAAAACAATGGACGGGACAAGCGATTATCAATATTTGTGCCGCTTGTGTCATGGGGAGTTCTGTTCTGCTCACGAAGCCACCTCATGTCGTCTATGTTCTTATCCGTACATTTACGAGATCGAAAGCATTACATTCTACTTGAGGGATAGTGACAACCATAAAAAAACAGGATTGGTAGCTTGGCGATGGCGATCGAGGAATCATCATCCAGAAAGAGAATCATCTTTTATACCCCAACAACCGGGAGTTGTGATCCGTCTAAGACGGGATCGTATAAGTTGGGTTTCACCCCTAGCCTCTACGGTAGGGGGTACATCCCATCAGCTTCAATCCACGGTCGAAAACATTACACATTGCAATGAATGGTATTGGTGTTACCAATGTAATAAACCACACACGTTAGACTCTAACGTCGTCGTTTCATCTTCTTCGCTTCCCGAAATCATACAATGTCATCAAAATCCAACCCATAGAACAATCAGATTCACCGACGCGCTTAGCTACAACAGCTTGAATGATTGTCATTGGTGCTATCGATGTGAACGACCTCATTTTCCGATCCCAGCCCCCTATTTTTCTTTGTGTAGCTGCGAGGGCGATGAGTCAAGGACACCGATTCAATTTCAAAAAACTGTCATCATTTATCAGGATGCAGATAGAGAAATATTTGAGCGCCTTGTTACTCTTCTTTTGAAACCGTCGGTGTTTGAAGTTATCGATGCGGTCGGCAGACGTGATCTGAACCATATTGTAACATATGAGAGTGATGATGAGACATATAAAAAGGAGATAATTATGGGTTTAATACCAAGGGTGAGAATACATGATTTGACAAGGTGTGGGGAATGCAGAATATGTTTGGAAGAGTTTGAGGTTGGAGATGAAGGAAGTGAGTTACCTTGCAAGCACATATATCACAAAGAATGTCTTGCTCCATGGATGATAAAGAACTACTCTTGTCCTGTTTGTAGATGTGATTTGCGTTTACCTACAGAAACTAGTACGGCTGCTGTTGATGATCAACCGTCTCAGGGGAGCTTTAGACGAATTCTTTTAGCGATGCAGCGTTTGAGACGCTTAGTAGGCGAATTCTTGGCTATTATTACTTATTAGAGCAAGAGAAATCATCATGTCAGGCCGGCCTGACCGGGAGAGCCGTCCGGCCGAGCCCTTTTGGTGACCTTCCCGGTGAATTTTTTTGATGAATTTTTTTGAGCATGTTCCTCATTAAGTCTAGTTTGTCATAACTTCATACCACATTTCAGCTCAAAATTCGATCGGGAAGACATTCAAATCTTTTTTTGAAGTTGACTACGTTTTTATATGTATATATTGTTGACGCAGTCAACTTCAAAAAATGATTTGAATGCCTTCCCGATTGAATTTTTAGCTGATATTTGGTATGAATAAACTAGAATTGATGAAACATATGCCAAAAAAAAAATTCATCAAAAAATTTTACCGGGAAGGTGCCCAAACGGGCTCGGCCAGACGGAGGTTCTCGTCAGGCCGGCCTGACAAGAAGAGTTCTCATTAGAGCAATGCTAAAAATGAACTGATGGAAGAACTGAACTAATCTCCATGTTGGCCTTAATATTATACTACCTCCATACTCTTTTAATTGCAACATTAGACTTTTTGCACTATTCACATATTTTACTTTAACTATGTTTTATTTAATACTCCTAATATATTATAAATTAAATTTTACAAAAATATTGTTAAATTCTTCTCATTCTAAATTTTCAAAATCCATTTTTTTAAAATTTTATAATAATGAGGAATGAAAGGTATTAACGGTCAAACTTGTGCGTTGACAAACATGAAAAGTGGACTGTTGCGATTTAATAGGAACGGAGGAAGTATGTATTACTACTGTATGAGCGATGAGTAACATTTAGGGAGTGTTTGCAATTGCTTCAACTTTAAAAAAGTGATTTTTTAAAGTGATTTTGGGAAAAGTGATTAATAGTAAAAGTTGGTAATGTTTGAGAAAAAAGTGATTCTGGAAAAGTAAAAGTTGGTAGTGTTTGGTAAAATAAGTACTTTTTGTGTAATAGAAAAAGTGAGAAGCAGTTTAAAGCACCCTTCTACTTGCTTCCAGCTTTTAGCTTTTAAGTGATTAATTTAAGCAGAAGCTGTCATTTGAAAACACTATTTTCAACTTTTTGAAGTCAAAAGCTGAAAAGTGCTTTTTTTAAGCAAACCCAAACACTCCTTTACTATCTAGCTTGTCCTACACTCCTACCAGAATGCACAAAATCAAAATAGTAAATTAAATCATTTAAATGCATGTGTAACGTGTATGCAGGAATGGAAATATGTTTGAAAAGGTAAAATCTCACCCTTTCTGTGACAGATAATCATAGTGGCACATGAATAATACGTAGTAATGGATTATATGAAATTTTTCTAATTTTATCTAAGGTTCTTGTAGATTCATTCTTTTTTCTCCTATTAAATTTACCTCGTTTTATACTTTCGGTTGTTGGTCACAATGGTCTATTGAGTAAGGCGGTAGGTGTAGATTTCATACTACCTCCGTTCTCTTTTAGTTGCAACATTGGACTTTTTGCACTATTCACATATTCTACTTTGACTATATTTTATTAATTAATGTATTATAAATTAATTTTTTTAAAAATATTGTTAAATTTTTCTCATTCTAAAATTTCAAAATATGAATTTTTTAATTTTTTTACTAATAAGGAATGAGAGATATTAATGGTCAAATCTGCGCATTGACAAACGTGAAATGTTGACTGTTGCAATTAATATGGAACGGAGGAAGTATATCACTACAGGAAGCGCTTCAATGCCAATTGCAGTTACTATTCATGCTGAAAATGTTCGTCTGAGGCTAACCGCAATCCAGCCCCTTCAATAAATCAAATTCCCCATCTTTTTATAAGTATTCACTCAATCAATCCGGTTTTCACTGCAATCCAGTTTCGTCAATATATTCACCCCGCAAAGTTTTTAAAATTAAAATATTACTTTTATTATTATACATTAATATTTTTCAATTTAACTTTTTTATGAATAATCATGGTTTGAAAATCAAACATTCCGATGTAAAAATACATAAATTTGGTATTTGATTTTTTTAATGTTATTTCGGCTTATTTTAGAAAAAATAGGTGAAAATGCAAAAAAATACTTATATATACAATATTGGTGTCATTTGAAAGATAATAAAAAATTATGAATTTTGGTATATTTTTTATAAAAATTAAAATATAAATAAAAGAGTTATTACACTTTTAAAAAAGTGAGATTTAAACTTTTAGGCCCACTGCTTTTTTTCATGCACTTAACTAGAAGCCTTTGTTTGTTCTCTTCCATTCGTACTCGGTGGATAAGCCTACAGGAATCCCTCCCCATGGGTGCCATACATCCACTTTGACACCCCAAAATACATGGGTTGTAGAGAATTTTAGGATGAAAAGTTTAAAATTGGGTTATTGACTCCTGGGTTGCAGGTAGTCTGAAACAATCGTCCAAATTACAACATACGGTATGCCATATACAAGTATATGACTCTGATACCATGTGAAATATATATGAATTGGATTTTATTATTATAATCTTGACAATAGCTACCATACAATTAGCTATATTTATTATAGCTAAAACTAGAGTATTAAGGTTTTTATTAGGGGCGGACAAACGGGTACATGAATCGCGCGCAGGTCGGGCCAGGCAATACAGGTTCAGGACAGGTTAGGGTCGGGTCCTAATTTCCGAAAATCCAAACGGTTCGGAACAGGGCGAGTCCTTAAAAATTTAGGAACCGAACATAGTTGAGTATATGTGCCCCCCAATATTTCAATGCACGACATAGTTGGTATAAAAAAATCATTGCGTTTAAATCTAGAGACCCTTTCATAAAGATTGAAATGAAGAATTGAGAAATCCATATTATAACACGCAGTTTATGCGTGTTTGGATTGGTTTTAGTCAATTTTCCTATCTTAAATGTGTCACAAAGCGCCTAATTAACTCAAGTCATGATTTACGATGTTTTGGTTTGCAATTTGATGTTTTTAGAGTAAAAAATAGGAAATTAAGTCCGGCATCGGCGTTGGAGAGTTATTCGGGATGAATCGAGACACATTGGAAAGTTGCTGAGAAGCATTGAAGGTCTACGATACATTCATGATGCTGTTTTGAAGTTAAGGGGGCTCAATGATCAAGTACGGGAATGAACATGGACTCAAGGAGCATGAAAAACGATAACTTAGACCACTGCCCAACTCGCAACCTTGAATTAGGGTGGTGCTCTATCAATCGTTTGAGCATATCTTTTCATAGAAACATCCAAATGAAATGATTCAAGTTTCATATAAATGATAACTTAATGGAATACAAACAACATGAAGACACCATGACGAGAACATCAAAGGATCAAGGTGAAAACAATTGAGGAAGCTATGTCAGATAATCGCTAATGAGATTTTAGGATGCGAGCTTCCACCATTTCATCCCTGTCTTTTGATAAAATGATCCTATTCCAGATTTTCAAATTGTAGTGGATAGAGGACGTCATTAGGAACAACGAACTTTGCTGAAGTAAGCATCGCCAAATTCAGACAGGGGCACACACGCCGTGCGTATGAAGGGGCACACTGTGTGCGGAGAGAAATTTTCGGCGAAGCTACTGGACGCCGTGCGCACTTGCCACGCACTCCGTGCGTTGCCTCACTTTCACTATTTTCTATTTAAACAGCATGTAAACCCCAGCTTTAGGTTAGACTGGGTTTAGAAACTACGTGGGGACGAATTTTCTTCTGTTTTTCAGCATTGGATCTTCCACATTCTGGGGTTGTTTGTGAGTTCTTTCTCCCTTTTAATGAATGACAATTAATTCTTTCCTTCTCAATTATGTTAATATTTCAATTATGGATTGTGAGTAGATTTAATTAGGGATTTAAGATTGATGAAGGGGATATTAATCATGATCTAGGTTCCGTTCTTGACGATTTAAATGCATAATTAATGTTTAATTTGTGTTTGAATAATTTAATTGATATCTTTTATAACCTGGAAGCTAAGGCTGGAACCGCCGCTAGGATTATAATTTCACAAATATAGAATAATTTAAGAGATATCTAAATTATTCTAGGATACTTTCACACACAAACTTAATCGCTAGCTAAGATATTAATTAGTAACGATTAGAGAGTCGTACACTCACTCGTTTTGGCAATAGTTAAGAAACTTATCACATGAGAGATCAACCTTGCTCTCTAAATTATTGTACTCTACGCCGCGAGAGTGATAAAAATCTAGTATTGACATGTGTTGCTTAATTAAATAATTTTCATGTGCTTAAGCCTAATTAATCCCAAAATCTCGTTGCTCCTAGAACTAATTAATGCTTCCCTTCTGTCATTAATTAAAAAGAGCTCTTTAATTTTGCCTTTTTATTCATTGGTTAATTCCAAAAATCCAATCTCGTACTTTCACATTTATTTATTTATTTATTTATTTATTTATTTATTTATTTATTTTAATCGTTGAATTGATTTAACACTTAGTTCCCTTTTCCGTCCTTGATACTCGTACTTTAACTCTTTACTACTACATCTTTTAAAGTGTGCACGAGAAAACTACACATCAAGGATCAAACTATTTGAATTCAGAGATCCTTCCATTTTTTGATCATCAAAACAGGCTTCTATTCATATCAAAAGATTCAGGATCATTACATCAAGCAAAGGGAAAATAAAACTGACATCAACTGAAACTCCAATAACTACGATTGTAACCCTATGGTGAGACTTTGAGACGGTCACCCCTGAAAGAGCAACACGAATCGCTAACCATGTAGTGGGCTTGACACAGCCAAACCTGTTCCCATAGATCCAACCATACCCAATGACATAAAGAGAGGCTAAAAACTCAAACAAATTGTCAAAACCAACAACAAAGATGAGCACAAGAAAACAAATTAAATGACAAACAGAAAACAAAATACTAGGAAAACTTTCACAGACTCTATCACCTCGTACAACCCATGGTGGTGGTTCAGGCGGAGGTCGGACCGTTGCTCGATTGATACCCTCTTTCAGTGGCGTACCCGCCGAATGACCCAAATACATGCCATCGAATGGAGCGTTCAGCCTCTCCACGCTAACCATGTCCCGATCATCCCTACGTCTCTCTCGCTTCTTCCACCATCTTCTCGCTGCCATGATCATCCATCCCGAGCTATGTCCAAACCACGGCAATCAGGCGCAGTACCAGGGTGGCGAAGAAAAAACCCTACGCGAGAGATCTCACTAGGGAAGCACTGACCTAACTTCGATCAAGAAAGATCGAAATCGGAAATAACCTAGCGGCTTCAGAGAACCTTTCATTAAAACACAAACAAAAAAATAAACCTTTTAAATCATGTGATCATTTCGTCAAAAGTGAAAAATCAAAGAATGATTCATTTCAATCTGGAGGCCCTTCCGTTAAAGAGAAGACCAAGTCAATTAAATTCAGAGGTTCCTCTCTACAAAATTAAAGTTAAAGATGAAAGATCAAGTGGAAATTTCCCGACACATCTACTTTTCTACCTAACATTTCATTTGTGTCTTCCTCTAAAATAATTTTCATTATTAACTTTTACCTTTTCACTTTTACTTTTTTATTTCAAAAATAGAACTCCGTATAAATCAAGTGAAATCCAAATTCAAACTCCAATTTTGAGTTTGCTCGTCAGTCGTCTCCTCCTTTCTGTGCTTCTCCAGTTCTCCTCCGCCCATCCCTCCGTCTCCCTTCATCTCCGGCCTCCCACAACTCGAAGATCTTCATTTGTTTTCGGCTCCACCTTAACCACACGCGGCACTAACTGCTTCAGGTATCTCATAGTTTCAACATATTCTACCGATCTGTTTGATCTCAACCCTACCGTGCTCTCACCGAAATAGGCTTGGAGATCTCTCAATTAGCGGAGTACTCCTTTAATTCCGCGAATTGAAACTAAATAATTTGAGATGAATTTTCCTATCTGCAACATGATACGGTTGATGAAGTTGAAAGAGATGTTTACCTTGTAAATTACGTAGACTATGATTTTGATGGTTTTGGTGGTCGCAAAGCACCGATTTGTCCCGATTTGGCAACAGTTTGGGGAAGCCGGGCTTGAAATAAAGTAGGTCACTCTTCTGCATATTTTCATACATAAATTTAGTGTGTTTAGAGGATTGATGTGCTCAGAAATTTTATTTTGAATTGTGAATTGAAATTTGAGCATCGACTGTTAAGGACACAGATGAACCAGGGCGCCAGTTGGTAATCACTTTTACTTCTAATTTTAGTTCATAGAGTTTTGTTTTTGTGCTCATTTAATTCAGCCCCAAATTGCTCTGAATTGAATGACTTTTAATTATTCTTTTTCCAATTTCTAGGAACTTTTATAAGCTTTGAGGAAAGTATTCATTTGTGTCCTAAACATGAGTCATTTAAGCAGAAGAAGACTTCATCCATAAGTATGTGAATGTTGCTTGAGCTCTTCCTTTCCTGACTGCACTGTAAGCATTCATTCTTATCTCATAATTCATTTGTGTTATACGTAGTATTATGTTGCTTTTTGTTTCATTTTGTTGCATTTTGTTTCTTTTTGTTGATTCCTTTTCGTGTTACATTATGTTGTTTTTTGTTGCATTTTGTTTCTTTTTGTTGAATTTTGTTGTATCATGTTTTTTTTTTGTTGCATTGTGTTGCTTCCATTCATCATTTTTAGGCAATAAGATTTTATTACTTTGCTCTAGCTCCATATGGTGCCAAATATTTTGGGATTTTGTACCATGAAAGGTTAATCTTATTGTCCCTGAAAAATGTGAGACTTTGTAAAGAGGCAGTGTAATAGGATATTCTACGTATGTTATTGCAGGTTTATAACCTCGCTGTAGCGTTCTCTTTTTTATTTTGAAACTTAGCTTTTTCTTTATCAATTTTTGTTGCAACCAAACTAGGATTTGTTTTGATAAGCCAATTTGCAGTCAATTTATTTATTGTCTTCAACATGCTTTAATACCTGTGAATTATTTGTAGCACTCTAAGAAGCCTTCCATGAGTCATACTGAAGGTAATCCAGCAACTATTTTGTAACCACACAAGCAATCGTCATTTGTCACTTGGAGATCTGTGAGCTAAACGGTTGAAAGTACAAAGCAAGCATTGGACAAGTATAGGCGTATAGCTCATCTCTTCTCCTGCTTTTCATTGAAGCATGCATTTCAATGGACTACCAAGGAAATGGCAAGTTTTTGTGCAGGCTTACTTTTTGTTTATTTTAAGGAAGCTTGTCAAAAACAGGGAAATTATTCTTGTTCAATTACAAATAGGGAAAATATTGTTGTTAAGGTAGTTGAGGATTAACTACATTCACATTTATATTAAATCAGTAATTAGTCTTTTCATTTGTTTTGGTGGATTCAATAGCTTGGTTTCAAAATGGATTTTTAATTTTGTAGTTTCTTGTTTATTTATGTTTCTATTTGTTTGCAGTAAATCCATATATAATTATGTGTGTTGTGCGTTGTGTGTGGATGCACACATATAATGATAAAATTGCACTTGTGAAAATCAAGTAACATAAATAAACAATAAAAAGCAACGTATGAAAAATATAATGTTTTTAACAAAAATAAAAAATTGGTAGCTATTTTAAATAATAGAAAACCTCTGTTTTTATTTAAATTACCATTTTTGCCCAAATTCATTACTAATTATAAATATTTCGGAATTTTTAGTATATACTTTATGTTTTTTCAATATTAATATTTTTTAAATATAGTATTTATTTTAGTTTGTTTTTTAAGTTGTGTCAATTTTGTTTATTGATTTTTTACAGCTTTATACGTTTTTTACATAAAATATATGGAGTATTAGGTATTAAAAAAACATTGGAAAAAACATACTTCCTATTCTTTTTACAACCTTTCCCAATTTTAACTTTTCTACATATTTTCCGATCTTCATTTTTTAAGATTATGTATAAGTTTTTTAATTTTTTTATTCAGTTTTAAACTTTAGAATTTTTTTTCTTAATTTTTTAAATTTAATTACATGTTTTTAAGTATGAGATTTTCTATATTTTTTATTTTTAAATTCAAATTTTCACATTTTCTTTCTGGAATTCTATTACTTCTAATTATTTTCAACATTTTACTTTTTAATAATTGTGATATATCTGTTTTGTAGTTTTATTTTTTCGGCAAATGTTTTGTAGTTTGATTTAAAAACAAAAAAAATGTATAATTGGTGTACTTTCTATTTTTTTTATTGGTTTGTCAACTAACGGGACTTGGTGACTTCCATCGCTAGTTGCTAACTGAGCTATAATGCTACTACGTATATGCGTCGAAGGACCAGAGGTACCAGAACACAAGTGTGTTCCGGCCGTGCTGTTGTCTATTAGTGAAAAGAAAAGTCCAGTTGGTTTGTTTTTGAAAAACCTTTGAAAAGGAGAAAAAAGTGATATTATTTTCACTTGTTTGACCGCTTGTGTAAAATTCCCAAAGATCAAAGCCATCTAAATGTATATGAATTACGAAGGCATGTGATAAAAAACATTCGAGACTCTCTCATTCTCTATACCTCTGCTTCAAATTAAATGAGCAAATCTCGGGGGCATTTTTAAACATGATACTACGTACTGCGTATTTAATCCTACGTATAAGATATTTTCAAGTTTAAGACATATTTTGATATTATTTGATATATTAAAATATTAATTATTGGATAATATTTAGATCTTATAATATCCTCCTAACTCTATTATATATCGACTTATCGAGAGTGAGGTCTTCATTGATGAAAAGAAAAATAAAAGAGGAGAGTCTTTCGCTAAATTTAATGATGCAGTTCTTCCTATAAGAAATATATAACTCCTTGAGACAAGTACAAATTGTCAATAGTATATTCATATACTATAAAGCCTTTTTGGTAATACAAAAATCAGCTGATTTGGCTGATTCTCCTGAAATTTATGAAGTTCTGGCTGAAGTGGCTGCATTGGCTGATTCTGCTGATTTAAAAAAAAAAAATATTAAAATATATTTTATTAATAAAATAAAGAAAAAATTATATGTAAAAATAGCTAAAATGGTCATCTACAATAACTTTAGCCAATACAGCCAGAAAAGTCACTTTAACCTTACTTTTTCTGCTTATTACACAATTCAGCGCGCGAAAGCAAAAGTTACGTGTTTGGTAAAAAAGTTTATTGATAAGACTGATAAGCCGAAAAACAGTGTTGCCAAACAGCCTCATATATGTATCTTGATACCCCACATTCATCTGTGCAATCTCTTTGGTAAAAGTTCTCTTTCAAACACTTTTGGGATAAAATATTCTGTTACATATGACTTTATCAATTACAATACGATTTTTACCATTAATATACTACCTCCGACTTTTTTTATTTAATCATCTTTGACTTTTCAGCCCGGATGGTAAATTTTGATGCATTATTCTAACTAGCTAATATATTTATGTGAAAGTTAATAAATGTATGCTTTTGTAATAGTATTTTTAACAAATAACATTTCCATATCATTTTCATATTATTATCAATATACCGCACGTGTATAAATATATAATCGGTCAAAGATTAACATCATTGACTTCATAAGTCAAATCTGACTAAATAAAAAAGGGCGAAAGAAGTATGTTAACAAAGTATGAAAATTCGATATGTTATTGTATAATTCAAAACGATGGGGAATTTAGTAGTGGAATGGTAGAGCTTTGCTTTTAATTTCAAACGTAGAATCAAGATGCTATTGTTAGATAGCTAGGGATTGTGAAAATGATACCCCGTAATGACTTTTGGTATATTAAGTCTAAAAAAACACCCCTTCATGATTTAGTTTTTAGTTCTCTTTTAGTTTTTGTTATTACCTTATTTTTTCTAATTATATACGAGTATTACGTATTATAATGCATTTCTATTCCAACCATACAAGGTATAAGTGAAAATCAGGAAGGACATTTAAATGGATAAAGCATCAAGGTAAACGTATACATTCGGAGTATAAAAGAGATATACTTCCTTCATAAGTTAGTGGATATGCCAATATAATATAATGGCAGCGCATTATATATATGGACACAACATGTAGCTCTACATGTGTGAATATAATTTGTTTAGTTGTAGTTATTTAATTTCCTTAATACAATTGTGATCTGAGCCTATATTTTATCTCAAAGCTTTGAGGTTAAAGTCACATCTTCCTGGACTTGTGTACATATCATATATACACATATATTTTGTTCTAAATAATTAAGAATGAATCGCATGCGTAATCATCATTTTTATTGTTATTTGTGCTACCAATGTTATGAGGGGTTCCGCTCTCCTAATGAAGTCACCTCATGCCATCAATGTCATTCTCAATCTTTGTATGAGATTCAAAGCATTACATTCTACCTTGGGGATATCGAAAACCATCGAGCACCCCCGCTAGTTGGGCAATGGCAGTCGAGATATCACAAAAGGGCAGATCCATTGGTAATGTTTCAGCGGCCTGGAAATGTGATTTGTTTAATATGGCGAGGAAAAGGTGAGCAACCCCGAACCACTGGATGGAAAGGTGGGCCGGGGCAGCTTCAAACCGCCATTGAACAGGTAATGAAATGCGGTCAATTGTATTGGTGCTACCATTGTCGTAAACTAGGTCATACAAGAGAAACCAATGGCGTCGAATCAATAATGACTCCTCTTACTCCTACAACTCCTGAGATCATGCGATGTCATGAATGCTTAGGTGAAAGAGCAGTCAGATTCATGGATGCGACAATTGACAACCATGACCCCATTTATTGGTGCTATGGATGTCGTAAACCTTATTATGTTGGAGGAATAGTCCAATCCTCTTCCTCTTCCTCTTCCTCCTCATCCTCTTCTGAGCCGTTCTGTCCTCGGTGTAGGGGCGAGCATCTCATGTCACGGGTGCGAATGCAAAGGAGCCTCATCATCCACGGGGATGCCGAAACAGACTCACCAACCGACGGTACAAGTACTGAATTTAGCTGGTCTGCGAAACCTTTAAGCCACGCGTGGTGGGTGCAAGACCAAAGAGAGTATTTTTGGGGTCGTGATGCAGCGCTGGGTCAAGTGCAACTCAATCACATCCTAGGAACAATACATGAGAAAGAACCTTGTCCTCCTCGAGGCGGCAGCCCGCCCACCGCGGAACTAGCGAATGCGACAACCGCCGGTGCTGCTAGCAATTCGGAATCACATCGGGCACCCGACCAAGAGGTCCAAGAAAGTAGAACATGTTTGGAAGAGCTGAGCGGGAAGGGAATGAAAGGTTGCTCAAACCTAAACCTAAACCTAGGAGGAGATGGAGGATTAAAGTTGTTGGCGTTGGTGGCTGCTTTTATTGGTGGCCTTTTATTAGAGCGTATATGCTCCTTAAAATTGAATTGGTGAAGACTGGTGGTCCTTCTACATAGTACATACATGCACACGAGCTCGTGCAGTCATGCCCCTAGTTTAATTTATGTACATATATTATATATTCATGGAATTATATTGATCGAATATATTGTACGTCGTTCTAAGCGAGTTTATATTACATATAAGTATGTAACCCTTATCAAACACAATAAAAGATGTTGGAATTCAATCAATCATGTTTTATCATTGTACGGGGAGATCGATCTGTTGGTAAACAAATAATATTGGAACTAATGATACGCCTACTACTCGACTCAAATTTTACTTTGCACCTCATTTTGAATGATATTGAACTTTGATCCTTATTCATTATTTACAGTTTTGGAGTGACACATGTTAATTACTTTGAAAACGTCATACAAATTTCAATATCACCCAAATTAAACATAGGGTTCAAACTCAAACCACCTTCTATAAACAAACTTCACAAGTATTAAAATGTATATTTGGTTATGATATATAGAGCTTCAGATTTAAAAAGTCCTATATATGCATATTACTCATTGTTCACTTTAGGCGTGAAGGTCATATTTTATGTGTTCTTGTTTATGTTGATGATTTGCTTCTCAGAGATGATGATGTTGCACTTCTCAATGACTTTAAATCATATCTGGCATGCTCATTTCATTTTCGATTAAGGATTTGGGAAAAATGAAATATTTCCTTGTTATTGAGGTGGCGCGTAATTCCACTGGGATTTAACTTTGCCAACAGAAATATGTATTGGATCGTCTTGCTGAGACGGGGCTCCTTAGGGCTAAAATTGTTGTCTTTCCCATGGTCTGATCTAAAATCATGGACTTCAATCCGCCACCTGTTCATCATACTCTGACATCGAGCAATATCGAGGTCTTGTCAAGAAACTTTTTTATTTCACACTTACTCGGTCGGACATCAGTTACTCAGTACATATTCTTACACAATTTATGCAACACCTACTTCAAGTTCATTAGGATGTGGTACTCCGAGTTCTTCATTACTTAAAAGGGAGTCTGGGCCAAGGACTCCTTCTACGTAGTGACTCCCCTCTTTTCCTCACCGGGTTCTGCGATTCGGACTGGGCAAGCTGCCCACTCACACGTCGTTCCGTTACATGGTATTTTGTCGCACTTGGTCACTCACCAATTTCTTGGAGGACTAAGAAACAAATGACGGTCTCTTTCTCCTCTGCTGAAGCTGAATATCGGGCAATGGCATCACTGACGTCTGAACTCATCTGGATTAAGAATCTTCTTCGTTCGTTGGATGTATTTCATCATGCACCCATACGGCTTCTATGTGATAATAAAGATGCCCTACATATCGCTTCTAATCCTATCTTTATCAAAGAACTAAACACATCGAGATTGATTGTCATTTTGTTCGTGACCATATTCAAGCCAGTACCATAAAAGCTACCCATCGGTCTGCCTCGGATCAGCCGGCTGATCTCTTTACTAAAGCTCTAGGGGCATACCAGTTCCGCTATCTACTTTCCAAGTTTGGAGTTCGTAATCTAGCTACTGCGCTTTATCTTGCATTTGGGGTTGAAGTTATAGTAATATAAACACAAGTAGAGTGAAGATTGTTTTCAAGCTTATAGGCTGCTAATGAAACAGAGAGAGCAATATTACTAGATTAGATCAAATATCAAATAAAACTATCATTGCAAAGTAGGTTACCCAATTGGAAAGTCTGAGAAAATAATCTGATCTAAGTCGTTTACACTACCTTGAGAAAAGATAGAGTTAGCTTCTTTCTCAAAATCCACACATTAAGAGGGATTTTTACTCAGGCACTTGAATAAACTCAAAGACCCAACACTTAGTCTTTGTGAAGTCTTCGAGTTATTTTAAAAGTTTTTTATGAAGTTGGCGGGATATATTCCTAATACCAGATATTCCTTTTTTCAAGACTTGGAGGGTTTGAAAAAAAATGTGAAGCTGGGAGCTCTTTCTTTCAGGTAGAAGCAGCAGAGTGCAAAACGTGAGTCAAGGAATAGTTCCGTACCTAGAATGAGAATAATTAAAAACAATAGTTCATATTAGTTTTTAAACATATTAGTTTGCTATTTTTGAGAGCTTGATACCATATCCATGTGTCGTATCATAGTAGTTTACACATGATATAAACAGTATTTTTGTGAGCTTATTACTATATCCTTGTATTTCAAATGAGATCAAGTTAATTTGCTATTGGTTGAACAATGTTAAGCTCTATTGAAGCTAAAGCAACTTTCCCCTTTATGGTGAGCTATTGATTCTTGATTCCATCTTCCTTTTAGCAGCTGTATTTCAGAAATTGTGGTAGACAGTTGAGTCGGCTAAAATGAGTCAATCCAAGTCGTTGAGATTGTCCACCACAATCACATAAGCTACTTTTCCATGTTTCTTGATCAAATTAATTAGTGTAACTCACATCTGTTGAACCTTTGTTGTAGTCTGACTTTGGATCTATTTGGTAAGGCTTATTTGTCTATATGGTCATAACTTTCTTTATTTTCACAAGGAAACACAACTGGAATATCTGTTTGTCATATTGTAATTTGGATTGGATTGTTATAGTATAACATAAAAATACTTTTACTACAATATGTCTTGCTTTTGTCATCTATGCTTTTGAGGGTTTAATGCACCAAACCCCCCTGTGATTTGGAAATTCGGCGCATTAGCCCCTGTGATTTAAAAAATGCGTCAAACACCCTTGTGTTTTAATTAATCATGCACAGAACCCCCTTTATAAATAAATTTAACGATTTGACAATCACTTTTCCTAATATTTTGATTGAATATGCAAATAAATATGTCAAAATCTCTGAATCATACAAAAATGCTAATCATTTTTCTTTTATTTGACAATTGAATTTGTTCACATAAGGGATTTGGCGCATGATTAATTAAAACACAGGGGGGTTTGACGCATTTTTAAATCACAGGGGGCTAATGCGCCGAATTTCCAAATCACAGGGGGGTTTGAGTATTAATGAATATATTCATTAATATTTGCACACGTATGCACTTTTCATGAAACAAAAATGAGTAATGCCATAAGAGAGGAGTTGCTCTTCCATTCTCAAACTAAGAAAGGGAGGTTTAAATACTCAAAAACAGACAACTAACTATATGTGGTAATGCCTACGGATTAGAAATTTTCTTAATATGAGAACATATATACAAAGGTGTTATTCACAAGCGATAATGTCTACTAAAAAGTTCATCGGGTCTGGTTTTCTTTGGCCTCCTAAAAAGCGAGCGATGCGTCCATCTCCAGTGTCTGGGTGATGACTCGAGGCCAAAACCAAAACGCGGATCCTCTAGTTGGTGATTCCCAATATTCTGACCATGTTGTCGAAAAGAAGCCCCATCTCTATTTGAATAATGGATATCCCATTGCTGAACACCATCACGAAAATTCCTCAACCCCCGCCGGTCGGCCGCCAAATCACTCATCCCAAAACCCTCATCCCTCATTTGAGCTCTAGTCTTTCGAATTCAATTTAATAATATTCTTGGAAAAGGTCGTACATACTTCATTTCTAAACAAAGTAAACATGTAAAGAGGAAGAGTGCATTTAAATGCACAAAACATAAAGCAACAATATAAAAAGATTTATACTTTACTTCAAATCATAAGTTATACCGTGATTAAAATCCAATGTTGACTATTAATTACGAAGTATATACGTAGTTACTATATGTATCATGAATCACGTATATGCTCTGGTCTATTTAAGTTGTTATTTTGTCTTGATCGATATGACGCTTCTTTAATCAACTTATTACGGAGTATATCATTAGCTTGTATACAAAAATATAAATACACACTTTTTGATGTTGTAATCAAACTACAAAACAATGGACAGACAAGAGATTATCAATATTTATGCCACGAGTGTCACGGGCAGTTCCGTTTTGCTCAGGAAGCCACCTCATGTCGTCTATGTTCTTCTTGATTTATGTACGAGATCGAAAGCATTACATTCTACTTGAGGGATGTTGGCAACCATGGAGAAGCGGGACTCGTAGCTTGGCGATGGCGATCGAGGAATCGTGATCCAGAAAGAGAATCGTCTTTTATGCCTCGGCATCCGGTAGTACGTTGTGATTCATTTAAGACGGGATGGTAAATGTGGGGTTCCATCCCTAATTGTTTGGGTAGGGGGTGAACGAAGACAGCTTCAATCCACGGTTGAAAACATTACACATTGCAATGAATGGTCTTGGTGATACCAATGTCGCACACCGCACACATTAGACTCAAACGTCTTCATTTCATCATCTTTGCCCCCTCCCGGGATTCACCAAAAGCGAATGTATTGCTTCATGGCTGATGTGAAAGTACACTTGTCCTATTTGTGGACGTGATTTGCGTTTACCTGCAAACAGTACTGTACGGGACGAGCCTCAGCCATCTCGGAGAATGAGTTTTATACGATGGTGGGGGCTTATGCAGCTTTCAGTGATGCCGCATTTGAGACATTTAGTAACCAAATTGAGGCTCATTCTGTATCCAGCAGGATTGTGGCCTACAATATAATTAGAGCAATGATACGCTTGTAATTTCCGTGTGTTTATTTACGTTTTTAGTTAGTTTTGGTTGTTTAATATTTCGGAAATTACACACTTTTGGTGTAATAGTTTAGTTTGTTAAATTCTTGTAAATTGTTTAGATTAGGTTTATTCTGAGCTTAAACAGGTCCAAGATCAATCAAATGATCATTGGTGAAGGAAGGTGCAAGAGTACAAGACAAAAAGAAGGAAAGTTCCTGATTTTGACCTGTACTCGGTCGAGTATACCTTATACTCGATCGAGTACCAATACTGATTTTCAAGGATCCGATCCGGGAACAAAGGAACATGCAAGGAAAGATTTGGCCACGTTCTATTGTCATACCCGATCGAGTACACCGACATACTCGATCGGGTATACATATAAATTTCAACCCGACTTCGGTCGAGTATGGCTCAAAATTCACCATTCTACACATACCCGATCGAGTACACTTCCATACTCGATCGAGTACCCGAGCTGCATGTCCCAAAAGCCTATAAATACACCCCTTTCCTTCACAATAGAATACCAATTCCTTTATACTCTTAAGCTCAGTTTAAAATAGCATTTCTTTATATTTCTTTTAGCATGTTTAGTCTCCAAATGAGGAGCTAAACTTCCATT